TTGTATATAATTGATAAATTGTATATGCACATATTATTAAGTTAAAACTTGATTCGGGAGGGTAATAAATTTTCATATATAGTATACGAAGGTAAAAGCCCCTTAAAAAAACTATATGAGACTGGTGTCACGATTTAAAATCTCACATGTCGTGATAGCGCCTATGTCAATACTAGGCAAGCCAACAACCTCAATAATCCACAATTTCTTTAAAGTTTGTAAACATAATATTTAAATTTCATAGAAAATCTCACTTATTACTAACGAAAAATACATTCCCAAAACCTGGTGTCACTGAGTACATGAGAATCTAAATAATACCAAAGTCGGACTGATAGATACATTGTCTGGAATATAGAACAGTGCTATAACTGAAAGGAAGAGAGTCAAGGTCAACAGATGCCAAGCAGCTACCTTGATGGTCTTCAACTGAAAATACTCCGAAATCTAACCATTTTCGTATCCGAAAGGACCTGGATCTGCACACGAGGTGCAGGGTATAGTATGAGTACAACCAACTTAGTAAGTAACAATAATAAATAAGGAACCGAAAGCAGTGACGAGCTTCACAGTTATAGTTCATTTTCAGTAATTGCAACAAGAAGTAGACATGCTTTCAAATCCGGCAATTTAAGTCAATTTAGTTTTATACAGTTTCAAGTTCAAGTAAAAACCGGATGTAGAATCTTCCAAGAACAATGAAAAATAGCAACTAAGTGCAACAACAGATGAAAACAGTACAGCCTCTCAGGCATCGGTTACTTGACTCTTCTCAATAGATCAATCACTCGGCTTTCAATCCTCAGCATTCACACTCAATAGGTACCTGCACTCACTGAGGGTGTACAGACTCCAAAGGGGCTCCTTCAGCCCAAGAGCTATAATCTACACGGACCACTCACATGCTGCACGGACAACTCACGTGCTATAATATAATATCTGGATCCGCACGGACAACTCACGTGCTGTACAGGCAACTCACGTGCTATAGTATCAATATCTGAATCCGCACGGATAACTCACGTGCTGCACAGACAACTCACGTGCTATAGTATCAATATCTGAATCCGCACGGATAACTCACGTGCTGCACAGACAACTCATGTGCTGCACAGACAACTCACGTGCTATGGTATCAATATCTCACAATCAGGCCTTCAACCTCACTCAGTCATAAATCTCTCCAGTCTCTTGGGCTCTAAGAAATCGGGAAAATCAGTCCAAACAGCAATGCCATGATGTATCAATAATAAATAACAGTGACTAAGATACGATATGCAAGTAAAAACTGAGACTGAGTACAGATAATATTTAACAGGCAGTTCAACATGTAACGCGACCTTTGTGGGTCCCAACAATACCAACACATAGCCTTAATATTGTTTCTAACATGATTTATAGTAACACGTAGAGAGCATACAACTAACAACAAGTTATTCAACTTTACAGTTTTACGAAATGGACCAAGTCACAATTCTCACGGTGCACGCCCACACGCCCGTCACCTAGTATATGCATTACCTCCAAAATAATCACATGACATAAAAATTCGGGGTTTCATATCCTCAGAAACAAATTTATAATTGTTAGTTACCTCAATCCGAGCAAATTGCTACTCCAAAATTCCCTTGCCTTGTGAGTCGGCCTCCAAACGTCTCGAATCTAGTCACAATAGTTTGATTCAGTCAATACAATTAGTGAAAAATTAATTTCATATGAAATTACTAATTTTCCACAAAAATCCGAAATTTAACTCAAAAATCGCTCGCGGGACCCATGTCTCGGAATCCGATGAATGTTACGAAATATGAATTCCCATTCAACCACAAATCTAACTATACCGAAATTACTAAATTTCAACAATAATTCGGCCCTCAAATCCTCAAATCTATCCAAGAGGGTTTTCAAACTATTTCAACTTAAATCACCAACTAAATGTTAAAAACAACGATGAATTGGGGTAATCTAACCAAAATTGAGTTAAGAACACTTACCTCGATGTTTTCCTTGAAAATCTCCAAAAAATCACCTCATCCAGATCTTCCTTGGTCCAAATATGGAAGAATGAGACAAATTTGGACTTTATTCTGCTGCCCGGGGTTTGTTCTTTGCGTTCGCGACCCTCCCCTCGCGTTTGCAGTGAACAAATTCCTCAATAGCGATTTCCAAACTCTTCCAGACAACCTATAGTATAATGGTGATAACTTTCTGCACACAACTCTAAATGACAAATGGTTTGATCTTCTGAAAACTAGACACCAAGGGCTATAATTTCATCAGTTGCACATTTCCTGATTCCTTATATATTGTGATATATAAGCTTCCAAAGTCAGTCATATGCAATAGCGATTTTCGAACTCTCCCCGGAAAGCCTGTTGTGTAACCACCATAACTTTTCGTACAAAACTCTAAATGCTAATGAGTTTACCTTTCTCAAAACTAAACACAAAGGGATACAACTTCTCTTTTTTTGGATTCTCTCCATTTCCTTATTGATTGCGAGATATGAGCCTCCAAAGTCGGACCTGTGCAATAAAGATTTCCTTCTTCCTGAATGCGGAGAACAAACTTCCAAAAGCCAAATTCTCCTTTGCGAACGCGAAGAACAACACCAGACATCAGAAAATCAGCATCCAAAGTAGCCCAAAATGATTTCAAACAAATCCAAGACCCCCCGGGACCCCAATCAAATATGCCAACATGTCCTAAAACATGATACAAACTTAGTCCAAACCTCAAATCGTATCAAACAACGAAAAAATCACGAATCACACCCCAATTCAAGCTTAATGGAAACTAACGAATTCCAACTTCTATATTCAATGGCGAAACTTATCAAATCAAGTCCGATTGACCTCAAATTTTGCACACAAGTCATAAATGACATATCAGAGCTATGAAATTTTTCAGAACTTGATTCTGACTCTGATATCTTAAAGTCAACTCCCCGGTCAAACTTCTAAACTTAAATTTCTTGTTTTCGTCATTTCAAGCCTAATTTAGCTACAGACCTCGAAATAAATATTTGGGCACACTCTTAAGCCCGAAATCACCAGAGCTATTGGAATCATCAAAAATCCATTCCGGGGTTGTTTACACATATTTCACCATCCAGTCCATTATTCAACTTAAGCTTCCAAACAAGAATTGTTCTTTTAATTAAATTCTGCATCATCTAGGAACAAAACTTGACCACCCTCACAATTAATAATACACAAAATGAAGCTACTTAAGGCTTCAAATAGCTAAACGGGATGAAAATACTCAAAACAACCGGTCGAATCGTTACATCCACCTCACTTAAACATATATTCGTCCTCGAACGTGCCAAAAGTTGTTCCAAAAGCCATCAAACTGTCGTGTAGCCTTACCAGGTACACACCCGGGGGTGATCCCACCTTACTTTATCCTATATAGGTCTTATAACACCACATAACTGAAATCTCTTAATTCAACCTGGCCTATAAGCCTTAGAATCCAAATTTCCAACATCTGTAATTTCCTACAAGATCTGAACTTTGCATCTATACACTACATATTTCTGAACAAGTTGTACCAAGATATAACTATATACGGCCAAAATTGGGGAGTTCGACTTTGGGGCTACTGTGGCACTCCACGCCCAACCCCGAAAAGCTCGAAACAGAATGTGAAGTGTGACCCCGAGGTGCGTCCCTCGATGAAACAAATCGAAGGTTCACTATGGTCAATGTCGGAGTAGTCTAATCCATGATCGTCATGGAAAGGTCGGGAAAAACTCCCAATTACACGTGGTTAGAGCTGACCAGGTCTGAAAGAATAGTACAAATCCATACTAGGTCATTATACAGCTGTACCAATAACATTTCCTCATCATTATTAGGCATGTACTATGTTGGGATCCCCCCGTCCTATATAAAGGGGACCCTTGTCATTTTGTAACACACGAATTATGGAATGCAATAGAACATTCTCTACTTTTCTTGCATAAATGTGCTCAACAATTGCTCTACTGCTTTATTGCTCCTCATTTATTATGTTCATTCCTTGTTTGTTCCTTGTTCATTTATTCTTCATTTATTGTTTATTTGTTGTTCATTATCAATTGTTAAAGGCTGCCCTCGAGGTCCTATATTGCTGAGTTCAAGGCCCTCAATCTTTTGACCACATTGGTTTGCTTATCATTTCTTGCTCATTTACACTTAGCATTATTCACATAACAACTAGTATCAAGATAAGTCACGTATTTTTAGAACCATAAATCAAATATAATTGTTATTACAAATTTTCAAGGTAAACAGTTTGACGCCCACCGTGGGGCTAAAAATAATAGCGTTTATTTGGTGCTAGTTTTCTAATAACACACATTATTCTTCACACTTTTTGTTGTCAAAGATTCTTTGATTTCAGGACAAAATATGTCAAAAACACAAAATGCACATGCTCATGACAGTGAAGGACTTGGAGAAAATTGCGGCATAGGGCTTGGCGTGCCACCTGTAAACCCTGAGGGAGTTCCAAAAATGGAGCCATTTAAAATTAAGTCCCACAACGCTCTAAGCATGGAAGCAGGCGCAAACCGTATAATGAATGAACACAGGGAGGCCCAGGATGGAGGCGAAGAAGCACGAGAAATGGAAGAAGGTGGAGTCAGCCTGCAAGTGATATTCGAGATGCTTCAAGCTCAGCAAGTCACCATTGCTAAACTTTAAAGCCAGAACAAAACCCGTAACACCGCCGAACCAATAAACATACAACACGAGCCAGTGCTAAAAATACCCGATAAAAGCGGCTCGAGGACTAACCCTACAATCATGAAAATGCTCGAGGAATTGACCAAAAGAATTGAGTGAAAAGAAAAGTAGATAGAGGCTAACGATAAAAAGGTGGAGACTTATAACTCAAGGGTCTATCAGATCTTGGGCGCACCCCCGATTCTGAAGGGTGTAGATTCAAAGAAGTTCGTGCAGAAACCATTCCCATCAAATGCAGCTCCAAAGGCTATCTCGAAGAAATTCAGAATGCCTGATGTCCCGAAGTATAACGATACCACAAACCCCAATGAGCACACTACCGCTTATACTTGTGTTGTAAAAGGGAATGACTTAAATGATGACGAGATTGAATCTGTCTTGCTGAAGAAATTTGGAGAAACACTGTCGAAGGGGGACATGATGTGGTATTACAACCTACCCCCAAACTCGATGGATTTGTTTGCCATGTTGGCAGATTCTTTTGTGAAGGCGCATGCCGGTGGCATCAAGGTTGCTACAATGAAGTCTGACGTCTTCAAGATCAAACAAAGGGAGAACGAGATGCTAAGGGAATTTGTATTTCGATTCCAGATGGAGAGAATGGAATTACAATTAGTCTTCGGTGACTGGGCAGTGCAAGACTTCACTCAGGGCTTGAACGAACGAAGCTTGATAGCTTCAAAGAGCCTAAAGCAAAATTTGATCAAATATCCCACCATGACTTAGACAAATGTGCACAACAGGTATCAATCGAAGATCAGGGTTGAAGATGACCAATTGGGAGCTCCCTCTGGCTCAGTATATCCAAGCAGGCTCTTAACAAAGGAACAAAGATTTATAGAAGGGGAATCAAGACCAAACAAGGAAAGATACAAATCGTATGTAGAAGATCAAAGAAACGCCCCGAGGCGTAATATACCTCGAGGTGATCGAAGGACATATCGAGGTCAAGGTTCCCGGAGACTCATGAGTAACTTTGGTAGGCACACTGGGCCGGTAGAGGAACCCCTATTATCTGAGTACAACTTCACTGTTGATGTCTCGGACATCGTATCGGCCATAGGTAAAATCAAAGATACTAGGTGGGCCAAACCCATACTGTCAGATCCTTCATAGAGGAACCCTAACTTGGTATGCAAATATCACGACACTCACGGTCATAGGACCGAGGATTGCAGATAGCTTCGAGAAGAGGTAGCCCGACTGATCAGTGAAGGGCACCTTCAAGAGTTCCTCAAAGACCGAGCTAAAAACCAATTTCGGTAAAGAGATACGAACAGGAACAACGAACCGGAAGAACCACATCATGATATCCACATGATCATAGGGGGGGTCGATGCCCCATAAGGACCAGTTATCAAGCGAACAAAAATATCCATCACCAGGGAAAAGCAAACTCGGAGTTACATACCAAAGGATGCTCTCACATTCAGCAAAGAGGACATCGAGACCTTGTCTCAGCCTGATAACGACACATTGGTAATTTCTTTTCTTTTGAATAAGTTTCAAATTAAACGTGTGCTCGTGGATCCAGGTAGCTTGGCCAACATAATCAGGTCAAGGGTGGTGGAGCAGCTCAGACTGCTCAACTAGATCGTACCCGCCTCTCGAGTCCACAATGGATTCAACATGGCGAGCGAGACAACAAAAGGGGAGGTAATCCTCCCGGTCAACGTGGCCGGTAAAATCCAAGATACCAAGTTTCATGTCATCGAAGGTGACATGAGATACAATGCCTTACTTGGAAGGCCGTGGATACACAGTATGAGGGCAGTGCCATCAACCCTTCATCAAATGATGAAGTTTCCAACCAAAGATGGAGTTAAAACAGTGTATTGGGAGCAACATGTAGCAAGAGTGATGTTCGCAGTACATGACATGGCACCGGCATCGACGGCCTCTACATCGAAGAAGCCAAAAGACAAGCAAACATCCAAGTAGCAACCATAACCTACTTTCTCGGTTGCGCCCGAATAAATGAGTAAAGGACCATACCGCATCCACGGAGCGAGAAATTGAAATATATCGAGGCTCAAACACTATCATTGCTAAGGTACAACCCTCTCCTATTCCATTTACGTTTTATGCTGACTTATTGCAGGTGTTCGATTGAGAGGAACCGAAGCATCCTCTAGCTCGAAGACCTTGGGTTTTAAAGCATGCGTTGCACTCTTTTTCCTTTAAATTGAGTTCTATCCCAAACGGGTTTTACTGGTGAGGTTTTTAATGAGGAAACATCCATATGCTACCTAAGGAGAACTCATCAAGTAGTCAAGGCTTCTCTTCGATCAATCTCAAGTATTGGGGGCATCACCCCGGGAGGTCACCTCTTCAAAGAAATCGAACTCACCCCGGGAGTTCACCTCTTCAAAGAAATCGAGCTATGCCTAGGAAGACCTCAATATGAGAATGTTGTATTGGGTCAAACGGTCAAATGAGGTCCATGTAGAATAATCAAGCCTCCAAAGGCAATAAACATGTACGCATATATCAAGTAATTGAGGAAGCCTCTTTGCTTACCAAAACACTTCGTGCCTCGAAGAAATTCACTACTTTCTCAAAAGACGGCTCAAGGGACAAAAACTTTCGAACACTCGGGGACTGTCATCGACAGTCAGCTCATCGAGCCATCAAAAACTAAAATTCATAAGACCTCGATTAGGAAACTTCAATCTCGCAAGCCCTCAGTTAGGCAACATCAAATCTGTAAGACCTCAACGAGGCATGCCCAAACTTATAAGACCTTAAAAAGGCATAACCCCGATATTAAGGCCAAGGCTATATATTCGAACTAGTAAGACCCCTAAAAAGGCATACCCTCGATATAAACATCGTGGTCATCTCACCCGGTGACTAAAGGCTACGGCTAAACATAAAGACTACGGTCATATCAAAAGACTCCGGCCAAATTAACGCGGCTCGGAGACGTCCGACTGCCGCCATAAAATTAAAGGCCTCCAAATACTTCGAAAACACTTCGAAAAGAACCGGTTAATCAGGCTACCCCCCACATAAGCAAAGGGGATACGATCATATCAGCTCCAAACAATGAAAGGCTTCGAGACAATCAGCTTTCAGTAAAAAGGCTTCAAAAAATCAGCCTTGAAGAGAACCTCTCGATGTACTCAATTATCGTCACAATCGACTCGTAATCGAGGTTCTTATTTGAGCCGTCAAAGAGTCGGACGAACACAAAACACGCCAAGGCATAATCAAAACTTCAAAGTCTTTAGCCGAAATGGGGGAAACCTATAGTCATATTAGAGGTCGCATCGACCCAATCTAAAAGTGCCTAAGGGCCAATGCGTAAGAGCCTAAGGGCAAGCCTAAAGAGCCTAAGGGCCGAGCTAAAGAGCCTAAGGTCCAATATGTTGAAAACTTAGGGGCCAATGAGCCCGAGTCAAAACTTGATTCTAGGACTGAGCCCTAAACGGCCAACTATTATCAATTACTCATCAAGCACAACCTAAGGGTTCTAATATTAAAATCCAATATACCGGACTAATTATCGGCAAGCATCAAAACTCAAAACATAAAACACGAGCAAGTGGAAATTTATATAAATGGAAAACCAAAGTGTTCCTTTTTTATTATAAATAATGGTACAAAGATACATTTACAACATTCCCGCAAGGATCCCTATAAAAAGAACAAGAAAGAAAAACCAAGTTTACCCTCGGGAACTTAGCCTTTCCCCCCTTGGGGATTATGTCTCCATCGACTCCCTCGGGACTGATAACTAGGGATTCTAGCCTATTTTATGCTGCTTTTTGCTTAGGTTTTGGATTAAAAGTGAGTACAAGTATTCCCAAAAGCTAACTTATTGTGCTTGTTTGCAGTGTTTGGTCAAAAAGAGACAAGGATGTCATAACCAACTCAAATAAGGAGTGAAACCTGCACAAGTTCAAAGCAGAGTCAAAAGAGCGTTGACAGCGAAGAAACAATCGCGAACGCGGAGGAGCCACCGCTAAGGCAGTCTTGATTTCGCTCTTAGCGGTGGCAAAGTTTAGAGAGTGTGTTTTGGGCTTATCAAGTCACTACCGCCCGTGGTGAAATTGCACGACAACTGTAGCTTTAGCGCGGAAACGGTCAAGTTATCGCCCTTAGCGGTAGTCAAAATCAGAGAACCAGAAGTGGAGCTAAGAGTTGAAGACCGCGGTCCGCGCTTGATTTTGTGCGGAGGCAGTAGTCTTAGCGCTGCAGCGGTCCATTTTCCGCTGTCAGCGAAACCTCCGTAGGGGTATTTTTCTCCAAAAAATTTAGCTGTTTATAAATAGTTGTTTTTCAGATTTTTAGGTCATCCGTTGTTTTGTAAAGTACGTGAACCGCCTCCTTTTACCTTTTTGGGTAATTTTAGAACATCTTTAGCAATTAAACTTAGATTTTAATCCCGTAATTACTTTTTATGGCTTATATTTCATCTAAATCTTTAATTGTTTCTTTGATTATGAGTAGGTAAACCCATTAGCTAGGGTTGTGGCTCAACCCTAGTGTGGGTATTTAATGGGTCTTCAATTTTAGGGCTTGAATGTTTATGGGTGAATTATATTTGGATTGATTTATACTTTAAATGTTGAATTCGTGGTTGCAAACACTGATTTGTGCCTTTTTGACTTGGGCTCTTCTTGAGAAAGAGAGACTAAGTCTAGGAAATTCAGGCAAACAAGGAATTGGGGTGCATTCAAGAGATTGATAGCCCCAATTAAAGGGTTAAACCTAGAAATAGTAATACCTGACTTGAGCTAATTTTGCTTGCATTGTTTGAACACCCAATTGGGCTTGAGAAAGCCAATTAGGGTAAAGTTACTCAAACTACCGAGAGGTATATAGTGAGTAGTTATGTGCAACGGCTATATCAAGATCCCAATTATAACAAATTTTCCCTAAGTTTTAGATCCCGTTAGATACCCACCTAAGTGCAAGTCACTTCCCTAGTGCCTTTAGACCAACTAAGAAAACCTTACAAAAATATTATACTTAGCTTATTTTCCTGCATCATTAGCTCTCTATGGATTTGATCCCGGTCTTTTGGGTAAAAGCTGCATCGACCACTCTTGCCACTCTATAGTGGTGTAGGGTTGGAACCGATCACTTTTTGGCGCAGTTGCCGGGGAGCTAAATAGTTTTGGCTATCTATCTCACTAGTTTTGTGTCTTCCTTCTGTGTTACTAACTTGTGTGTGTCATCAATTCAGGTACAAAATGGCAAACAATGATCCTCTTGGATATGTTCTCCCGGGGGAGGAGGTAGATGATAATGGTGAAGATGAGGTGCCTCTAGTACCTCAAGGTCAAAGAAGAGGCCACCATGCCAATGACAATATTCCAGACCCTCCGCCGCCTCCTCCAAGTGTCGCTCCTCGGATGCATCCAAATAAAAGATACGCAAGTGCAATTGCCCCACCCCGGATTCGGGCGGGCAATTTCCAAATTACAAATGTGATGTTAACTTTATTGGAGCAGTGAGGGTACTTCACAGGTGCTCCCCATCAGAATACATATAAACATCTTAAAGGCTTTGTGGATACCTGCTGGAGAAGCAAACAGACCAATGTGTCGGAGGATGCATTGAGATTGAGATTGTTCCCTTTTTCACGCAAAAGGAAGGCTTTGGACGGGCTTGAAAGACTTCTCTACCATTCCATCACTATATAGGATGAGTTGGCGGATAAGTTTATAGCTATGTTTCTCGCCAGGGCATATGGCTACTTTGAGAGATGAGATTTTGGCCTTCAAACATGAACCTAATGAACCACTTCATGAGATCTAGGAGAGATATCAGACAATGGTGAAAGAATGTCCGAACAATGACATGACCAAAGAAATGATCCAGCAGACATTCTACCGTGGCATTAACATGACCAATTAGTGTGTAGTGAACTAGGTAGCATGAGGAAATTTTATGAACACACCTTATGCTGAGGCGTGTGAAATATTGGATGAGATGGCAGATACTATCTTAGCTTGGCAAAGTCAAGCTAATGTGCCACATGGTGATCCGACTGTCATTCATTTTCACAAAGAGATCCATGACCATGGCCAGGCAATAACAGAGCTAACTACAACAATGAACCAGTTGGCAAAAGCTCAATTGGAACAAGTTCAAGCACCGAGACA